TTGTGCGAAGAAATGCTTCATGACATGAAGTCCTAAATGCCAACTTTTTTACTTTACACATAGTAAAGTCCTTGTTTTTTATTGATTTTTATTTTTTATTGATTTATTGAAGTTAACAGTAGTTAAAATCTTGAAAGACATTCAGAGTTGTAGTACCTTCAGTTCAGGACTAAAGAGATTATTTCTTACATAGGCTGATGGAACAAATTCCTATAAGGCATGACAATAACTATGTAGTTATTCTAGTTATTCTTTGAATTGATTCGAATTGAGGTGCAGTGTCTTTTTCTTTGAATTGATTCGAATTGAGGTGCAGTGTCTTTTTCAGTGTGGCAACCAAAACTGCAAACAGTGATATAAGTAAGATCTTACTAAAGCATTGTAAAAGTTTAATGTAACTGCCATTGCTTTAAATTTTTCACTCTTCACTATTTATTGTAATATTTTTTGGCCTTTTTAATTGTTTCTCTCCAATCTGTGGACAAGGAGAAGGATTCCACATCAGTGGACATCAAAATGAGTCCAAAGATCAGTGCTAGCCACATTGTGTAGATGATGTACACATTTGTATTCACTGAATGTAATAATCTGTTCTTGTATATATTAAAATTAATTTGTCAGGCAAGAGAATGGTGTTAAAATCATTTTGTAGTGATGTTCAGTAATATAATTAGGGTTTGTATTTGTATTGCTGAAGCTTTTCAAACTGAGGGCCTGTAACTAACTCTTGTGAGGGCCTTGTTTTTTTTTTTCTCCAGGAGGGCTCTGAGACTAAAACCTTACAAACTACCTCTGCCTCTCTGCTTGGGGAACCTGCCCCATATCTGGGGTCCCTAGCACCTGCCCTTCCAGAGAACAGCCAGGCTGTAGAGAGACAAAGACGGAGGCTTCAGACACACTGGAGGATGCTGCAGACTGCAGGTGAGGAGCTCCAAGATACAGGTGTCTGGCGTTAGGAGGATTGGGATGGTTTCACTGGAATTTTACAATATAAAAATATTGTGGTGTCAAATGCAGTGTGTTTTTATCTTTTATTATTGACCAAAACACTCACTAATATAATGTTAAAAGCATCACATCAGCCTTGTTTCTGTAAATAGAACATATCAAATTATTTTAGACATTTGCTATTTACATGTAGAAAATTACACTAAAGTATATACAATATATAACTTTTGTCCAAGTCATTGAAAGTTGTACAGTTCTTAAAACTGACATTGTGACTTTCACAAAATCTCAACCTTGTTTCTCAAAAATGACAATCAAGCTGAATTGATTACATTACATTTTTAAACACTTTCTAATCTGGGTCTCCTTGTGTGTTTTGTCTGCTTTTCTAGTGAATCAGGAACAGAGAGGGACATTACCAGAGGGGAACTGTCACGCCCTCTAGTCACCACATTCTCACATGGAAACACACC